CATAGAGGGCAGGTTTTGTGGAATCTATCGATATAAAATGGGTACAGAAGTTGTGTTAGACAAGTACGCACATCGATAAATATCTATATTAAAAGTTTTGCATATACTTCTTCTTCAATAAAAAATATTTTTTATGAAAGTCAATATACCAACATTATTAAACAAGTCCTTTCGAAAAAATATAAAATGTAGTTGCAACAAAGTACATGAATAATTACCACTGATTATTAACTTACAGATGTACCGATATACAAAACAAATAAAAAAGTCTACATCTTTACGTTTAAGGGCTGTGGATCAAATAGTGAAATGAATTTTCCGGTCTCAAAATTTAGTTAAAATGCAGTATTTTTCCGCAAAAAAATAAATGAAATTGAGGTTGAACATGACTGAGAACTTGCTTTGGGAGCATTTACAGCCAAGAGGGTTGGACTTAAGAAAATCCCCTCAGTATACAGTTGGCAATAATATTGGATTAGTTGGGAAGTATACATATATGTACCCATTACCATACAAAACATATATTTACCCATATGACACACACACGAAAACATAGTTTATATACACATATATATATTAAATCTATGATATTTTATCACCAACAAAGAGTGTGTTCAGACCTTGTAACCAGACTCACAAAAACACTCAAACTGATCATGACATGGTGTCTGGCCTTAGTACAAGGATTTTGGTTTTGTCATCGTAGATTTACCAAATCCACATCAATATGTGCTGTGATTTTAGACTTTTGAAATGTGCCCTTTCTGTCGCGCAATAGACAAAATCCAGGGGAAGGAAGTCAAACACTAGATATGCATCAAAGTTGCTTTGTTTTGATTGCCAGGACAAATATTTGCAATTCGTTATCCTTTTGGGATTAGAAAACAATGGTTTGAACAGTCGGGGAGACATGGAGACTAAACATCGGTATATATTAACACACCATAACAAGCTTACACATACCCAACATTACAAAACACCATGCTAATTGTTATTGTATAAACTAACACAACAGGGGATATGTTGCTATCTAGGTACAAAGTCTAACAACAGTACTCTATACATCATTTTCCTTCCGTTTGTTCACTCTGCTCCGTTAATGCTGAATCCATATTTGGCTGCTGACTTGAGTCCGTCACATTATTATCTAATTTGTTAGCACTATCATCCTCATCCTCGTCGTCGTCATCATCATCATCTTTCATCAACTGCTTGGCTAATTTAACAGCCTGGAATTCATTGTAGTGCAGCTTCCTCTTTTGTTCAAAAACTTTCCTCACAGCTACAACAGAAAGTATCACAGATTTTACAGCCACAGATAGTAATTTAAGCTTCTGACAATCATTGTCCAGAGGATATACTAAAAGAACACAAGAAAACGTGACTGCTTCAAAAACAGATTCTTATAAGTTTCTCAATTTATATTCTTGTCAACAAACTTACCGTACCAACATGAACAAACAGAATTGTTAGCTTTTTTCTGTTCCACAACAATAAAGGAAAACGTTGAACAGTAAAAATCTAAGACGGTTATCACGTTTTTCTTCTGAAGTGTCTCAAAATGAAATATGCACAACTCAAGACCAAAGGCAAAGGAGACCTACATATGAAATTTGAGGAAAATTTGGAAGTGTCAATAATAAACTTCAACTATTTCAATCTTAACTAACCTTTCTTTTCTGGAGTTTCTTCTAGCTCCTCATCAGAAGATGATTCTTCGTCAATTGAAGGATGGCTTAACACAGTGGGATTAATGCCTTCTTCATTTAATCTGAGACAACAAAATTGTTAAGTCAGTAATTAAAAAAGTAACAGGATTACATCATAGTCAAAAACATTACACTAAGATATTGTTTATCAAAAACTGCTACAATAGGTTTAAACACAATTGTGTATAATTTAAAAACCTTTTTAGTCCCTTTTACATCCTACATTTGCTATATATATTGTAATAAGTAGAAGCACAGAAGTAGACATATAGTATAAACCTGATCACTATCAATTAAGGACTTTTAGTGGAGATGAAATTGTGCGGTGATAATCCACCAGTAAGTTCAGAGATGATGTTGCTAAAATGCTTTGCACATTGGAGAACCCTTACTATCCCATCAGATCCCTCAGCCCCACCCTGAAGATTCAGCCCTTTTTGAGCATTAGTTTTGATTCTCATCATTTAAGGATCATTTTATGAAATGATGGTGAAATTATAATGGTTAGTTTCAGGCTAATTGAAGGTTTTGCATTCAGTGACCCCTTTTATGGCCATAACCCACAGCCCATAATTAGATGTGATTGGGGTGCCAGCCATTTCTTTAAAATAGATTCAAAAGTACTAGTTTCATTGTAATTTCATCGACAACGTTATGATGAGAAGTCAATTGTTTACAGATAAAAAATTAAAAACAGTCACAATAAATCATCTCTATATAGTAATGAAGTGGTGATCTTGACAGTTTTAATGTAATGACCCAGAGATAGAGTTCCTAAGGGTGGGTCCAGATCCTGGAGCCAACCCTGGCAGCAAAAGTGTATTGGTCTTTCATGATTATGCATTTTATTTTAAAGTGGGTATTAAGTCTATTTCATGTTATGACCCTGGGACAGGGTCCCTAGAAGCAGGGCCAGACACCAAGACCAACTTGTATAGTAATATTGTGTTCATAGTTTTATGTCAGGAATTTGTATATCTGATTATAAAGTAGAGTTTCTAGGGGTTTGGCTGGAACTTTAGATTAATCCTGGCAGCACATATGTATTCATTTCTTCATACATGCACAACAAGTGTATATATATGGTTATGGGCTGAGGTTCTAAATAGTTTCCATGTTATGCCTGAGAGAATATATCGATCTATAGGGGTGAGGTGGACCCAATGGCCAACCCTGCTAACATGACAGGGGTGTGCAGTACTATAAGTCAAAACCCTGGACTACTAGTACATGTAGGTTTTATGTACAAACAAGTACACTAGTCAGACACTCCATCAATGTACATTTTGAATCACCACTACAAGAAATGATTCAAATTAAATATAGTGGATATGCCGCACATCGTTCTGGTTCCAGAGAAGTCGTTTTTGGCAATTATATGGCCAAATTACCCATTTTTGGCCCTGTCCCTCATCCACTTCACTTGTACCATCCTGAATCCCCACCCTCTAAGGATGGTTCTAGTCAAATTTGGTAAAATTCTGTTCAGCGGTTTGAAAGAAGTAGTTGTTTTAACAAATTTTGATGGGCAGACGGACACCATGTTATGGTAGAATCTTGGGGAGAACACCAATGATTTATACATCTAAATTAAGTACCAGCTGTATCAATTAATACGGACACCAGTTATATATACTATTTATGACAATATTTAACCTTGAAGCTATTGTCTCTGCGTTGAGTTCAATCTCTTTCTCGCTAATGCTGCTGCGTCTTTGTTGTGTCTCCCCATCCTCATCTTCGGGGTCTGAATATTTGCTGTAGGGTGTGAGAGGTTCGTCTATCTTCATGTGGCCATAGTCTTTATCTGCTGGATGATGAGTGGCCAATATGTTCATTTCATCCCATGTCATCTCCTTCCTTCCATCCCTGGGTGTGTTGGTTGTGCTAAAAACATTTGTGTTAAATACAATACTTCGGTATATTTGTAAAATATTTCTTGCTTATATCATGACAGGTTTGGCACAACGGTGCTTATGGGTAATAATCCTGTATTTGGGTAACAGTTACCCATTTGAGT